CATACCCACTTACTTGCATCTGACATGAGCCTAATAGTTGGTCCTTCGTTGCCAGCGACATAAGCCCCATCGATATCGTTCTCTACTCTTAAGAATATTAATCAGATAGGTATTAATCTATATTCTTAATATTCTTACATTATTGATTGTTAACTTTCCTCGATTTAGAATTCCAATATGAATATTCATTCAATATTCAGTGAATATTAAACTATATTTATTTGATTAATATTCTTAAATTAATTGATTTAGATACTTTATTTGGTTAAAGAGATGCTTTCATTTGACTAAAAATATTTTAATAGTACTTAATTTTATAATTGGTTGTTTGTTTATAGTTATGATGCTTAATTTTATAATATGAATTTTTGGTTAAAAATTTAACTTAAAACTCTTGAGTCGCTCAAAGCATAGAACCCAAACCATAAAATATACAACAAGGTTAAAACATAACATATGGTCACAAGTCTAGGATTGTTCAATTTTTTTTGGCGGATGGGGGCCTCAGTGTCACGAATGGGCATAGGCTAAATTACCAGATTCGTATTTTCTTGATCCACTTTACCACTTTGGTATTTGTTATTATGCCGCCGTCATTTTGGTTTCTTTTCTTGGCCTGATGGTCAAATAAGCTCAAAAGTAGTTGTCAGCCAAAAAACGCTGTTGTGGACTGTATTAAAGGGTAGGGTTTTTTGATATTAGTTCCTCAAATTTTCAGTAGTTTGAAATTAGTCCCTCTACTCTTCACTGTTCTGATATTAATCCCCCAAATCCGTAAAATTGTTGGGTAAATTCCTTTTAACTTTTCTAGATTGATTAATACCTTCTTTTTAATATTTTTAATATCTTTTGTATATTATGAATTTGATATTTAGCTATAGACAATGACGGAGAGAGTCGGATTACTCACAATGAATAAAGTTAACTGAGGTTTTGGGAGTTAGGGGTCTAAGGTGATCTTGAGTAGGGTAAATTTCTTTTGAGTTTGTTTAACTTGCTGTTGAGAAATTCTTTGATTATTTGGGAGTTGGTTGTATCTTGGAACGATGAATATGATGGATACAGGGTGGGAGGGGTGGCAATGGTCTGAGAGGGAGACATCAGGGCGGTCGGAGAATGGGAATGGGGAAGGGAAGGCAGTGGAGTGCTGGGGGCGGAGGCTCGGGTCTAAAAGGACTGTGGCAAATACAAATAGGGAGGGGTCGGTAGTGGAGACACAGGGTGACTGGGTGAGGGTCGAAAGTGGTGGCAAAAGAGGAAGTTTAGGTAGTTAAAGGAATA